ATGTTTAGAGAGATGAATTGATTAGGCAAGAAACTAAAGGAAAATAGGAACCACAGAATAGGAAAGTAGACACATCAGCGTTTGAAGTGCTCATAAGTTTCAAGTTAAATACAATAGAACTAATAGAATGAGAGAACTCAAAGTATGAGAAAGTAAAGAGTCAGATGTTAAATGTTATGTTTCACAGTTAAAAAATAGATATGAAGTGGTATAAATAGAGCCAAGTTTTCCAGTGAGAATGACAAACATTTTAACGTTCATGTCCTTGGTCTTATAGCTGACACACTGTCAAGAACACGATGTCATGGCACAGTGCTGAACCAGGTGTGCTTAGAGCTCAGATACACCTGGTCTGGATGCTGGCTCTGCCACTGACATTGGATCTTGGGGGAAATCAGCCTCTGAAATCATTTTCCTCATCTGCAACTGGAAATAATGGCAGTTTCTATCTCATAAGGTTTTAGTAAGAATTCAATGAAATTATGCATATTAAGTGTCTAATAAGTCTATATTTGGTAAACATTTTATAAATATTAGGTTTATTATCATTGTTGATGTTATTAATTTTGTACAATATATCAACATTTTAAAGAATGCTTTTTAAATACTTTCTCTCTGTGTTGTTCTTTTAAATTACAGTAGCATCCTAATGACTGATATTGATTAAATGAAGAGGAAAATTTTAATTCTGTAGAGCTTACTCTAAATTAAATAAAACTATGTACAGCCTAGGCAGTCTAAGAGAATAAGGTAGAGGAAAAAATAAAACATAATCTTTTATTTAATCTTTTATTTGTGTGAGAAGATATTCAGGTGATTATTTTTATCATTGTGTGATGTTTCCAGATTCTTTGCAAAAATAAAATATAGGGAAAATTTTCATAGTAACTCCACTCTGAAGAGTTTTTCTTTGGAGATTCAAATTGCAATTAAACTGGAGTGGATAGAAAAGTCCGTGGCAGATGCATTGCTGCTAACCACAGGCGTCAGAGTGTTCTGACTACACTGGAAATCACTGTGGACAGAAAATTGTAAAAGACCGATCTGTCACTCATTTAATGTATGTTATACCCAGGGTAGGTGTAACCTTTATAATTACTTATAGAATTTTATCTAGTGGGCCTGACGTGGTTGCTCATGCCTGTAATCCTAACTTTTTGGGAGGCTGAGGAGGGAGGATTGTTTGAGGCCAGCAGTTCAAGACCAGCATGGCTAACATAGTGAGACCTCAGCAGGAGGGGTTTAAGTAAACTTACACTTGGTAAATACCCCTTTCTCTTTTGCTTGTTGCTACGCCCTTCACTGGCCAGCCTGTCCTTCCTCATCATTGCACCAAACTTTTCTAACAATTAGAGTCATAAGACATGAGATTTGGGTAATTTAGAGAGATAATTAAGCCAGTTGCCGCTTTGACCTCTAACATTAAAATCCAAAGGAATTCAGATGATCTACAACTCAAAAAAAGAATTTTGTGCAATTCATTATGGAGATGTATATACACAGATATAATAACAGCTTTATTGAGATAATTTACGTAGCTTAGAGTTCATGAATGTATACAAATCCACAGTTCTTAATGTAATGGCGGAGTTGTATAACCATTACCATAATCACAGATGACCACATATTTATGTAACTGGGGTGAAGCCTCCAGCTGGTAATGACCAAGCATTGTTCCTCTGCCTTGCTTTGACCTCTGCCTAACCCCTGGAAACTGGTGAAAGGGTGGTCTAGCACCAGATATGTTACCAGACAGGCCTGGGACTGTAGGTAATGAATGAATATGTATTCACAAAGATGTATATACAGATACATTTATAGACAGGAAAATGTCCCACTTCCTCTCATTTTTTTTTAGTCAGTTGACAACTTTACTGGGTAAAATGTTAAGTGGCAAAAACGTTGAGAAGAAATGTCCCTTTTCTGCATTTCCCTCAGGCATTCTGGAGGAAAAATGCACACAGCACACATTCATATTTAGTATTTTCTGCAGGTAATTATTCATTTTAAATATTTAAAAATTTTCTCTATTTGTAATTTTTGTGGGTACATAGTAGGTGTATATATTTATGGGGAAAATGCGATGTTTTGATCCAGGCATGCAATGTGAAATACGCAGGCACAGAAAGACAAGCATCACATGTTCTCACTTTCTTGTGGGATCTAAAAATCAAAACAATTGAACTCATGAACGTAGAGAATAGATGGATGATTACCATTTTAAGTATTTCTTACACACATAACTCACTTTATGTGACATGAGGAATTATGCTTAGGTTAACTAATTCTGAATTATGACCTTTATTTACTTATTTGGAAATAATACATGCTATTAGTTTGATTTCAAAAAATCAGAAGCTATCTTTTAAAGAGTTCTATCCAGTTGTGCCTGCTTAATTTTATTTTTAAGGAAATTTAAGTTCCTATGTCAATGTAAGGTTGTCTAATATTACCAACGTTTTTTGGTAATATTATTGCTTTTTGCTAATATTATCACTTTTTCCATGTGATAATGGGAAGATTTTTTTCTTATTGTGATAAAAAATTTTTATCAGAAAAAAGTTTTTCATCTTTCAAAAAGATAGCTGGCCACCAGTTCATTCTTAAAATATTAGTTCAAATACTGGATAGATTTGAACTAAATATCTAATGGATAGTCCTCATCATTGCACCAAACATATTACTTACATTCTATTTACCAGTTCAACACTAGCAAATCTAACTGCACAGTCAATAATAAAACAAAATACGATAATTTTTAAATATAGAAAATAGAAAATCTACAAAATAACCTTGAATATTAACAAACGTTTGTCATTAGCATTTATTTCGCAATGAATCTCCTTTCAGATAAAACTTGTATTTATTTACTTAAAAACAAATTATTATCATTATTGAAATTTTTGTCTAGAAGTGTACTTATCTAGCATTGTTATTTTGTGTATTTCTTCTCAAAATACCAACCAATATTCTCTGAAATGAGAATTAAGATCTCTCCAAGGATATAAAACAGAGGCTGAATGGACTTTGGAGTCAGATGGAGCTAAGTACAAATTCCAACTCTAGTGCTCACTACCTGTGTGATGTGTACATATAAGGTATTTGACTTTTCTATGCCCTAGAATTCTCACCTGTACAGGAGAATTTCTATAAAGGGCAAAAAAAAAAAAATAGATATTTATTAAATGCCTAGAAAATAGGAGATGTTAGGTACATAAATCACCCTCATATATGGAGTGGATAGGTGCCTCAGATGTATGCAGAAAAGAAAGGTTCTGTTTCAGCTCTTCATTTACTTTTTTATTCAACAGACAGTTATTGAGCGCCTACTATTTATCTGGCACTAATCTAGGCTCCAGAAGACAATACTAAAGAAGTCAGCCCTGGTGCTTCTCCTTTTTTGAGGTTTTTCAATGTATTTACATGAGAATAGCTCTTTTTCAGCTTTTTAAAAGACAAGATGTAAAATATCTTGGCTTATTTTGTAAACTATTTTATCTAAGGTAATATTTTACCTGGTCTATTATCCATAGTATCTAACAGTTTATCAACTGTTCAGAGCACTAAGTGGGATTCAGGAAAGAATATGGGCTTTGAAAACAGACAGAGGGTGTTTGAATCCCAATTCTGCCTTGTGACCTTGAACAAGTTACTGAGCTGTTTTAAATTACTATTTCCCTATCTATCAATTAGGTATAACAACCATTCAATAGTAGTTTTGTAAGGTCTAAGAGCAATGATGTAGTAGAACATAATGTCTGACTTATATTAGGTTTTTAATCAATGGTAGCTGTTATAATTATTTATTAAAATATCTGTTTAAATTATTTATTAAAATACCATTATACCACTTTAATAAATGGTAATTGTTATAATTATTTATTAAAATACCTATGATTTTTATCATTTTTAACAACATGGGTAACTGTTAATTAAAACTCATAGGAAGTGTACAGCATATCATAGCAATAAATATTCATTTATTCTCTTTATGTCCTTGCCATAGTCTTCAAAGCCCAGGACACCATCAGTCCTGTAACCCACAAAGCATTCCTGAAGGGGTAATCTGATTTGGAGCAATATAGAAACAACAAAGGTAACAATGCTGATATAGAATGATATAAAAAATAAAGAAGTAACAATGACAAATATATATTGAGTGCATATCATTTGCTGGTACTTGTTCTAACATAATATCATTATCTCTTCATTCCCATCTAAGGTCACTCTAAAGCCTGCAATCTTGAAGACTGTACTCTAATGATCTCTAACAAAAGAGGTGACATCCTGGACTGAGAATTGTGAGTGGCCCATCAGAATGTTTGCTGAGCCAGATCCAGTAACAGTGGAAAGAAAAAAAAAATAGCACAGGTCTCTGGAAAATTGATACCCCATATGAGCAGTCTAATTCTGCATTAGTTGTTCAGAAATATAACCTTAATAAAAGGTCTGAGAAGTGGTAATTTTTGTCATTCTTAAATCATCCTTTGAAAATAATTGCCTTTCAAGATTGAACTCCCTTCAGAATAATAAAGGCAAACTTTTAACAGGTTAAAAAGACATAGAATCATTATGTTCCTGTTCAATAGAACTATTAAGCATTTCTTTAGAATAACAACTCATTAAAAAGGGCACACTGTCCTTTTATACACCAATTTAATCATCTAATCAGTTTAGTGTCCCAAAAAGTATGTAAATACTACTTAATTTACTAGTCAAGTTGGCTTATGGAAATTACTACTTAGCATGATTGCCTCTGGATAAAGAACAAACAGGTAGGGAAAAAAACATCGATTTAATAAGGTCGTTTCACCCTTCTGGAGTGAGACTATCAAAAACACGTCTAGACTAGTAAATTATGCAACTGAGCAAAGATTCTTAAAAAGCATTCCAATTATCATTTTAAAAGTCCAAAGAGTTTTCTGGGTTCTTTAAGTAACCAACCCTTAGAGTGTCTATAAAGCTTACCAAAATATCAGCATTTTAAATTAGTCTCTTACCCTTTTCAAATGCTCCTGTATTTTGGACTCCACATCTTGGATGTGTGAAATCATTTTGTTGACACAAGGTGCTGGGATGTTTACTACAGCACAGCTGTGACGTCGGCATGGGTAGCTAAAGTAAATGCCTTTATTCACCCCTAAAGAGAACAAACATAAGAAGCTCATTACTCATTCTATACAAAGTAGTAAACCTTGATGTTCAGAATAAGCAAAAAATATTCTGCTTTATTAGTGATAATACTCTTAAAGTTTCCTTAATAGAGAGGTTGATAAATCTGTCAGAAAATTATAGAACAAATCTTCAAAAAATGTACAAGCTAAAATAAAATAATCATTTATGATCTAATTCTGTAACAAATAAAAATGAACCCAAGAAGCTAAAATAAAACTTCAAGCAAAGTTAAAAAACATAGCATCATGAACTAAACATTGGGAAAAAATGAAGAAAAAGAAGGCAGAAAAATCAGTTGACCCATGTGTTACTAAACAGATTCTGAATCCCTTAAAAATAACTTTGAAATATATTTTAAATATTCCCTTCAAAGAGATGCCCTCTTCCAATGTAAATAATATCCAAATACTCATGCATTGAAGTTCTTCCTTAAATCCAGCATGAGTTTCTGTTGCTGAAAAAAATAAAAGCAGGTCTCCTTCATCCTCATAATAACCTCATTTTCTACCTTCCATTTCTGAAAATTGGAGTCTCATGCGAAGAGTGATTGATGTTCTCACTATAGTATTCAAGCTGTACTCATCATAAAATCTACTCAGTCCGATGTGCCTCAGTGATTCTAATCCTGGCATGTCCCAAATCGACTGAAGGTTGCAGAAGCACAGCAAAGTTGTCCATGAAACTCCACCAAAGTGCTTACTTGCAGTCCTTTTGACTCTAAGGACTATTTGGCTGGATTGTAGTTGCAATCACTGATCTTAAATTTGGAGACGCAAAACATGCTCAGCGCCTCAATGAGAACAGTGTGATGTCCTCATTTCAATTGACCTTGAGGGAACAGAGAAATAATCCTGTTGTGTTTTGTTTCAATGTCAACCCACAGAGATGGTAAATATATTTAGTATCTTCATTTAAACTGCAATCTTTTAAATGTCTTTTAAATGAAGCCTTATAATATCTTCCTCTAGAAACACAATCTCTTGTAAAAATGGCATGTTTCATTTATAAATAAAACTGTTCAGTCTATTCTATAATGTTCAACTCTCTCTCTCGTGTGTGTGTGTGTGTGTGTGTGTGTGTGTGTATATAACAGTGACCTTTTTATGGCACTAAAAATATGTGCCAGACATAAAGCTAAGCTAAAAATTTTTGATGCCACATTTTTTAATCCCCACAACAATCTTATAAAATGGGATTATTATTTTGATTTCATAGATGAGGAAATCAAGGCTTAGATAAATTATATAACTTGTCTAAGTCTATGGAACAGGTAGGTAGGAGAACTGAGACTTGAACTAAATCTCCCTGGCTATGGAGTATAAGCTGTGAAGGCTGTTTTTATATTTTAAAAGTACAGCAAAATAAAGAGAAACAGTACTAAAAATATATTTCAGGGCATCCTAAATATTTTGCTTGTTTTTAAACTTTGAATGTTCCTTCATAATATCAGTGCTGGTATCCTATGTCTTTTAGTTTGCTTTGACCATACTCTGAACACATATACTTTCTATAATGATTTTTTTTGTGTTACATTCCATCTTTCCTCTTTAGTTCATAAACATGTCTATCTATCTATCTATCTATCTATCTATCTATCTATCTATCTATCTATCTATCTATCTATGTATCTATCTCTCTGTAATAGTCAAAAGACCAAAAGAACAAGCTAGTAAAAATTACATATTGATCTCCTATCCAAATATCTTGATAAGGGCATGTTGGCCTTCCCTTTAGAAATAAGAAGGTTTTGATACACATTTAACCAACAAGCTGTCACTGTTACAGTTAAAACATTTGTTTTGCTTCAATAAATGTGGAGAAAACAAGAATAGTAATGATTCCTTTTATATTTTTCCTGACTGTGCCACTCTCAACCTATTTTGTGAATACTAATTAATTTCCATAGCACTCCTATGGTTTAGGTTGAATATGTAACATATGGTAAAGTAATGGGAATGATGTACTATGAACTTAAATTTGCACTAAAATCTGTAAAAGACATGACATCCTAAGTAGCACAAGATTGAACCAAAATTCAGTAGTTCATGTCATTCTTTTTATTCCATTGAAAGTATGGCATAAGTTAAAACTTTGAATTTTTAAGAATTTTACCCAGTTTAGGGTGACAGCATGATATAATCAAAAGACAGCTGAACTAGATGTCTGTATTTTCTTGACTGAATTGATAACTAGCTGTACATCTTTAGCTAAAACTATTCAGTCTTTAGGTCTCAGAATTCTTAATAAATTAATGTATTGGTAAGATGTTATATAAGATATTTTTCACCTAAAATTCCAAACATAAATCAAGGGAGCTCTTCCTTGTGAAGCCTGTGCACAATGGTCAGTGTGAGTATATAAAGAATTAAGTTCAGGCAAGACTTTCATCCTCTCTAAACATGCCCCTGACTGCAACTTCCTTGCCCAGAATTAATGCATAAAAGACAAGATCCTCCTGGCTCCAAGCCAGAGTTGAGGTTTGCTGAGACTGTGCAACAGGAAACTTCCATTTGAGAAAAAATATCAACTAGCTGTTTGTGTGGGCAAATGAAATAGAAAGACTATGTTTATAAACTGTCAACTCTTACTACTCAATGAATTTGATTCTTATATAATTTATTCACCCAGCTCCAATAATTTAACATGTTATCACAAGAGTCCTTCCTTTTCTTCGCTTTTTATATGTGCTTCCTTTATGTATGTTACTCCAATTATTCTATCATCCCTTTATCTCAGAACACTTAGGAAAAACTCTGGTGAACACATATTTCCTTTTCACATTATTATCCCTTTTAACATCTTGGTTTTCTTTCCAAAATGTAACATAAGTCAGTGCTCTTGAGGTTAAAAATAATTTGTCCTCTATGCAAAGACTCTTTCATGATGAACATAAAGCATCTTTAATCTTTTATGGAAAGCAAAGATCTCTTTAGGTTTTGTTACACATGACAAAAATAAAATCACCTTTCACTGACATTAGAGTTATTACATTTTCATTGGACCTTACACTGTTGGATACATTTATCACTAAATATCTAGAATAATACACATGGACTCTCAGAGTCGGAAGTGGCTAAAAACTGCTTCTACTCTAACCTTAGTCAATATGCAATGCCCCTGATCGGTGTTCACTTACTGCCAACTTCTTCTCTTCAAAATCTGCAACTTCAATACAATTTTTTTACTTGCCTTGTGGACTCAGGTCTCCCCACTACCTTGCCTGACCACTTCCTAAAGCTATTATTCTATATCAAATTTTGCTTTGACTAGCAATTTTTTGAATGAACTGTTTATACTGGCAGCCGCAATATCCTCATCTGATCTCTTCTTCAAATTACAATTTATATACAAATATTAAGATCCATCTTACATGGTTCCTTGCCTTAAGGAATACTCAACTCTTTCAGACATGTGAGTGCACCTACACCACTTTTTATTTCTCTTTATAAGAATGGATCACATTGCATTCTGCTGTTATTACATTTATGTTTTCCTGTCTATCTTCCCCATGAAATTTTCCATTCTTTCTAGAGAACAACTATATTAAGTGCCTTAAATGATTATCGAATAAATGAATAAACAAATCCTCTATAATTTTTTAAATTTTTTACCTAGCTGTAATCCGATTTTTGTTCTATTCATGAAACTTCATTCTTACATCCCACTAAGCAGTATATCAACTGCCATCCATGAAGGAGTAACTGATATGGAATTAGTTCTCCAGTTATAAGCAACTCTAAATCTGGATTTCAAAATATGAGACAACTGATTTTGGACATCGAAAAATGGGCAGTTCAAGGTTTTTATTTCTGAGAAAAGGGAAACTGATAAAGTGGAGTCCCACAATCACCAAGCTCTCTGCCAAGGGACAATTTCCCAACTACAATAAAGAGATCTGGGAGCAAAACAGAGCACAGTAATCCCGCTGAGTTGAAAAGCAAATATGAGTTTCATGGACAGTGGAAGCATCTGGAAGAAGACAGGAACTCAAGAAGAGAGAGCAATGCAGAAAGGAGCCTCAGAAACACATGTGAGAGGCCCCTCTGACATATGGCATAGAATCCCTGACCAATAACTTCTACCCAGAATGTGCAGAGAAAATTCACAACTTAATATTCAGAAAATAGGCATAAGGCTTGGACTCTTCACAAAAGACAATATACAAATGACTAATACAATGTGGAAACATGCTTAACATTGTTAGTCATCAAGAAAACGCAAATTTAACTAACAGTTCAATACAATTTCACACACACTATAATGCCTAAAATTATAAAGGTTGGCAATGTCCTGTATCAGAGAGGATATAGAACAACTGGAATTGATACATTGCTAGTGGAAATGTAAAATTGTTTAAACACTTTGGAAAACAATTTGACAATTTCTTATAAAAGTTAAACTTACCATAGGACTCAGCATTCCTCTTCTTTATATTTTCCCATGACAAATAAAAATATGTCCACAAAAAGAATTGTAGGTGAATGTTCATAATAGCTTTCTTGATAATAGTCAAAAATTGAAAAAAATCTCAAATTTCCATTAAAGGCTAAATAAATTGTGCAATATTATTGATCAATAAAAATGAACAAGCTACTGATATATGCAACAGCACGGATCAACATTAGAGACATTTTCCTGAGTCTGAAAAAGTTGGACACAAAGAAGTGGCATAATTTCATGTATTTGAAATGTTAGAATGGTAAAACTAAAATCATACTGGAGTTGTGGGAGTGAGTGAAAGTAATCTTGTCTATAGAGGGGACATGAATGAACTTTCTGGAAATATGGAAATTTCTATACAGTGTTTGAGGTGGTGTTTAAATGGATGTGTATGTTTGTCAAAAGTCATTCACCTGTACACTGTAAATGAGTGGATTTTATTGCATTTAAATTGTACCGCCATACATCTGCTTTATGAAAAAGACATCTAAGCATATCCTAGTGACAGAGCTCAATAATCTTGTA